CCATCGTGCCCCCCCCTTCGCCCCCCCCGCCGCCGCCGTCTCAGCGAGCACCGCGAACCCGGCCCTAGCCTAGCCCTGACCCGTGGCGCGCGAGGCCTTCCGGGAATTGTAGTTTGTTTACGTGATCCTCTCACAGCCCCAACCACGCAGTACGGAAAGGAAATGGACACCAATTCCCAGCAGCCCTGTTGACTCGGGGTACTGGGGACTTTGCTCCTCCCACTCGGCTCCTCCCTGCGCGCAGCAAGATGGGAAAAGTAGTTTTACATTAGCCCGGAGCCTAGGAAAGCGAGGAGAGGGAGTAAGGAGGAAAGGAAAAGGAGAGGAGAGGGAAGGGGTGGAGACAGGGAGGGAAGAAGGAAGAGACAAAAGAGGGAAAATGTCATCTTCAGGGAAGGGTAGAAGGGCCTGAATGAAAACAGTGAGACCAGGGAGACTACTGAAACAACTGTAAACATCTGGGACGCAGACCCTCAGGCTAGCCACATGCCCGCCCACCCCTTTCCCAATACAAAAGAATCAGATTCCATACAGATGTAGAGAAACATCTTTTATTTGGGGAACATGTCCCAAAACAGATCAGTAAGTAAAATAGAGTCTAGAGAATATGGCCCTGTGCCCAGCCCTACCCCCCCACACCCCCAATAACCCTGGGGGTGAACATTCCCCAGCCCCCCTTGGGCTCCTATGGTATAAAAGTTTTGGCAGCTCAATGTTTATCATCTGTGGCATATGGGGCACCATATATCCATGTTCAGTATTCCTAGAGTGCAGCAATGGTAGGGCCCTCGGATCTACCAACCCTCCCTCCACCCCAACTCAACAAACATTTCTGCCCCACCCCAGAATCTGGGACTAAAATAAGGAGCAAGAGGACGACCCCTTCACTGAGGTGCTGAGCAGGGCTCAGTACATCACTGTGCTTTGAGAAACAGGGAGGGCATTTTATTTGGCACTTTAAAAATAGAGTGAGCAGAACTGGAGAAGCCAGAGAAGGTACCAATACTGGCAGGAAGAGGCCACTTGGCACTAGTGTCTTGGGAAAAGGAAAGGAGAGAGGGGTCCACCCTCACCTCTCAGAGAACTCTCTGGAACTCAATACTTCCCTTCCCCATTCCTGAGGAGGGGAAGTGGGTCAAGGGCACCTGGTACCCAATCTCCCCCGCCCCTCTTGGAGCCTCCTAGACTTGGATGAAGAGTAGGCCAGTAAGTAGGGCAAACCCTGATAGGAGCAGAATGACCTTGAGGATCCTCTGGTCAGCAGTGGCCAGCTCCTGGGGCAGGATTTCCAAGAAAGTGATGTAGAAAAAGGTGCCAGCTGCCATGCCCTCCAGGACAGACTGGGCCAGCTGGTGCAGTGGGCCAGCTGACTCTGCCAGAACTGCGCCCAGCCCAATGCCCAGAGGTGTCATACATGAGAAGAGAATGCCACAGCCAGCCACCACCTTTGCTCGCAGGTGGCTCTGCAGCAGCCTCAGGGTCAAGCTGACGGCCAAAATACCCTTATGGAGCAGCAAAGCCAGACACAGCTCCATGGCCCGAGCCCGGTCTCGCTGTAGTCCCACTGCCAGCCCCTCGAACACCGAATGCAGAGCCAGGGAGAAGACCAGTACACAGGCACGCAGGGCTGAGGGAGCTGCCAGAACTCCACTTGCCTGTGGGAGACCTTGCCCATCATGCCAGTGCTGTGGCCCACCATTCACTGTTCCCAGCAGCGCCCTTGTCTCCTCTCGAGGTGGTGGCAGTGACTGCTCCTTGTAAGCGAGCGTGATCTGCTCCATCACCAGGACCAGGAAGAAACCCATGGCCAGGATAAACTCTTGTAGGGGAAACTGAAGCTGTGGGCAGAGAAGGCAACAAGGAATTTAAGAGACAGACCAAGTATGGGGAACATGAGACCGGTGCAGAGTCCAATGAGGTCCCAGGCACAGAGACAGGGCGGGGGTCCAGACAGACACATGGCCACTCTTGGTCACACAGATACAGAGTCACTTGGTGACACAGACGCAGAATGACACTCAATCACACAGATCCTGGTGTCACAGTGTTACATGTAAACAGATTTTCCAGCTTTGGCACTATTAACATTTGGGACTACATAATTCTTTGTTGTGGAGAGCTGTCCCTAGTCTCTAACCATTAGGTGTCAGCAGCAGCACAACGCCCTCCCTCCCTAAGCTGTGACAACCAAAAGTGTCTCTGGACGTTATCAAATGTTTTTGGGGGGAGGAGCAAAAACACTCCCAATTCAGAGTCACTGAATGACATTAGTGTAGACATACACAAAGTGTCACATGTAAGCACACAGAGTCCCACATTCTCCCACCTTCCCAAACGCTCACGCAGAGCCGCACGCTGTTGCGGGAACATTCAGGCTTAAGTCACGGGGAGAAACAGGTCACTCAGTCAGACACAGATTCTGCCCAGTGTTACTTCCTCAGTCGTAGGGAAATAGAGGAAGAGCCCAGGGTGCCATCCTCGCACCCCCCCCCACCCCCCGCAACTGTCTCAGTTTTTCCCATGAGACTTTCCTACGCTTTAGAGTTATCTTCCCCAGAGCCTACTTATTTGGGCCTTTTTGGTCAGCAACACCAAGCCCCTGGGATTGCCTCCCAAGCCTGTACGGACCTCTTTCTCCAACCCCTCAGGGAAGTGGTGAGGGAGTGAAGATAATTCTTGGAATGCTGTTAACTTCCCAGAGGCTGAACTGAGAAACCCACAGAGTAGGTCATATACCGGGTAACAAGGCTCCTCACACTGCTCCAAAGGGTCACATAGGGACTGGGGGGAACCCCCAAAAGAAATTACGCCCCATAACTAAGAACCACAATTCACAGGTTCACATCCAAGAGCCTTCCACACAGTCGCAGAGTAACACAGGAACAGATCCATACAAGCCAGCTCTCCTAGAGGCATGCAACTCACATACACAGCCTCAAACGCAGCCAGCCGGGGGCTCACCGTCACGTGCAGGGACGCCAGGGCCTCGTCTATGGCAGACAGGTAGTCAGGCAGCAGGTCCAGGAGACAGGTGGCCAGAAACACACCCCCGGCAAAGCAGCTGACTAGGCTCAGGACTTTCTGGCGGAAGGCTGGGCAGGAGGGAAGGCAGAAGGGAATGAGCAAGGGAACCCCCTCCAGGCCCAACCCAAGCATCGGTCACTCTCCCCTTCCCCTCCTTAAGCCACCATCCTCGGCCCCAGAGCCTTCCCCACCCCAAGCATCCGGGGCAGCAAGGACAAGGGGCGCCTTACCCGAGGCTTCGGGGCTGGCTCCCGGTCGGCGCAGCACACAGATGGGCACCAGACTGCAGATGAGCGTGAGCACCAGCAGGAGCACCAGGGCCCCCAACTTCACCTCCAGGCCCACAGGCAGTGGGGGAGCCGAGGCTACTGCCTCTGGGCGCCACACCAGGAGCTCTGGTTCTCCCCAGGGCCCCATGGTGGCCGGCTGCTCCGGTGACTCTCAGACCTAGGAAGAGCGCGCGGGGAGAACGGTCATGGAAGGGGCGCCGGGGCGGCAGAGCGCAGCTCCCGGGGCCGGCGCTTTCTGACCTTCCCGTGTGACTCATCCCCTCCTGCAGGGGAACAGTCCTCCTTCCCCTTGGTCCCTTCCCAGTGACTATTCCGGGGCCCAGCAAGGGGGAAACGGGCACGAGGACTGTGCAGCCATCTCCTTGCGCTTTCGCTTGCAGCTCCCAGAGAACTGGGGAGCCGGGGCCCTGGAAGAAACGTGGAGGCCAGGCCCCTTGGTGGAAGGAACGCAGGACGCCGAGCGGGGTTCGGGGCTGTGCAGAGAGGTCGCACGGGTAGCTCCGTGGACCCCCAGAAAGAACAAGGAAAGAGCCCGGCTGCCGGACGGCTCTCCCGCTCCCGTTCCCCCGGCGCCATGCCCCCGAAGACAGAGAGGGGCCACTTCAAG